ACTTACTCAAGTCACAGGCTGACTAGAACATTTTTGGTCTGATGGTCCTCTACACCATTCTGTCCAGGGCACATCTGATTGGACGGTACTCCGATAGCACTTAGCACATTCAGAAGCCTAGAGTTCGGAGACAAAGTGTTTGGGTTTGGTCATGGGCCTGAACTCAGCGTCTGGGCGCTGTCCCTCAGCTCTTCAGCTCAAGGCTAGCGCTCTACCGCTTGAGCCACAGCACCACTTCTGGCTTTTTCTGTGTATGTGGTGCTGGGGAATCGAGCCCGGGTCTTCCCGCATGTGAGGCGAGCGCTCTACCACCGAGCCGCCTTCCCAGCCCTGGTGGCAGAATTTTTACTGCGAGTCTGCATATGGCTCTGCTTTGACTCTGAGTTAGCCCTCCGAGCCCCTAGATCATCTGCTCTGACCATGGAAGTGATTCATAGGCGCCGCTAATGCCCGCCAACACCTCATTCTCCCCCTTCTGAAATGACTCCTTTGGCCATGAAATGTCACTTCCAACACATCCGGAGATAGCACTGTTTTTTCTGAGTTAGAGATACCTGAAGTGCTTGTGTCTGTCCCTGAAGTGTGAATTACTTCTCAATTTCAAAATGCATACGAATCATTTGGGCATCTTGCTCCAGTAAGGAGGCAAATAGGAGGCAAACCATGAGTGAGCTAGCCCGTCTGTATCTCCTTTAAAATACTTCAGCATGGAGATACACGTGTGTTTGCTAATCTGGATTTGTCTTTAGGGTTGGCTAGCGCATCCTCTGCAAGTGTGTTAGAGACACAGAAGCTATTATCTCACACTGGATTCTAAGCCTAGGGACCGTGTCCCGTGTGGTCAGCAGCCTCTCCCCTGGGCCCGCGTCTCTGTCCCCGCTGTCCCGTGTGGTCAGCAGCCTCTCCCCTGGGCCCGCGTCTCTGTCCCCGCTGCTCCCTGAGTTCACTCCCACTGGTCTCCCAGCTGCTCCACGCCCGGCAGGCATTTGCCCTGGGACCTTTATCCGGTTCTTCCTGCAGCCTACTATTCTTTTCTCCTGGTTGGCCTTTTAGCCAAGGCTTTGGCTTACCACGACAGTGGGCTTTTCACCTTCTGAATTGGAAACCTACCCTCTTTGACGCCATAGCCTCTGCCCTTTCTCCTGCTATGCTGCGGTGCCTCTTATCCTGGCCAGAATCAAGAGTTGCGGTGTAAACCCTAAAATGAATGGAGCCATGGGGTTAGGCAGGGTTCCTACCAGCCCCCCAACACACACAACTACAAGTTGCCCAAAGGTCACTGAGACCTTACACAGAAAACCACGTCTACAAAGGCGTCTGCCCACACTATTTAACCCTGCAACACACACTCTTGTTATTAATCATTGTGGCCTCTAAATAGGTGATGTAATCCTGAGTTTAAAACTTCCCCTTTCACCAACCTCTATGAATTTGTCATAGTTCACTGTGACATACATATTGTCACTGCAATGCTCTTTTGCCAAATATTAGTTTTCTTTGCCCCCCCCCCCGACTGCTACCAGGAAAACAAAAACAGTAAGAACCCCCCCTGGCTTCCATTTCTTGGAGTTCATTTCCATATTTTCTGTGGTCATATGCACATAGCTATTGAGCTTTTGTGATCCTCTCTTAAGAATATCTTCCTTTGGTCTCGCTGAATGTCTAGAGAGCTGTTTATGACCAGTTTAATTGGGGTGAGATGGAATCTTCAAAGTTTTGATTTACATCTCTTTTATGGCCAGGAACGTTGAACATTTTCTCATGTGAATTTGCCATTCTTAACTTCTGAGCAGTCTCTCTTAAGCGCCTTTGCCCATTTACTAATGGCTTATTAGTTTTATGAGCTCCTTGTATATTTTGGGTATTAGGCCTTTGCCAAACGTATTGCTGGTAAAGATCTTCTTCCTGCTGGCTGTCCTCCGAGTTTAGTAACTGTCTTTTGCTGTAATCCCACTTGTCAAGGGTCTCTATTGCTGTGCTCCTGCGACTCTTCAGAAAGTCCCCACCTCTACCTAGAAGTTCTCATGTTTCCCCTACTCCCTCTTGCAGTAGTTTCAAAGTTTCAGATCTGACATTGAGTTCTTTGATCTACTTTGAGTTGATATTGGTGCATGGTGGCAACAGGGATTCAATTTTAGTTTTCTACATATGGATGTCGTTTTCCCGACTCTAATTATTAAAGAGTCTATCTTTTTTCCGCTGTTTAGCTTTGGCTTCCTTGTCAAATATCAAGTAACTGTAGGAGTATGGCATTATTTCTGGGTCTTCTAGTCTATTCCATTGATCTTCCAGCCTGTTTTTGTGCCAGTACCAAACTGTTCTTGCTATGATAGCTCTGCAATAGAGCTTGAGGTCGGATTGTGATACCACCAGCAATTTTTTCCTTTTTCTTTTTGCCTAGCTCTGCTTTGGATTGTTTTCTCTCTCTCAGTCAAGAATGTCATTGGGATTTTGATGGGGATTGCATTATTTGCATTAAAAATGCATTATTTTCACAATATTAATTCTACCTATTCATGAACATGGGAAGGCTTTCCATTTCCTGATGTTGTCTGCAATTTCTGTCTTCAGATTTTTCCTCCTTCAGAATCTTGTATAATTTTCACTATAGGCATCTTTTGCTTGCTTGGTTAGGTTTGTTGCCCCCATTTTTTTTTTAGGCTATTGCAAATGGAATTGTTTTCCCAATTTGGCTTTTGATTTTTGTGGGTTGATTTTTTTTTTTTTTTGTTAGCCTCGGCACTGTCCCTGAGCTCTTCAGCTCAAGGTAAGCACTCTACCACTTGAGCCACAGCACCACTTCTGGTTTTCTGGTGGTTAACTCGAGATAAGAGTCTCACAGACTTTCCTGCCCAGGCTGGCCTTGAACCGTGATCCTGAGATCTCAGCCTCCTGCTAGGATGACAGGCATGAGCCACCGGCTCCTGGCTAGGTGGGTTGATTTTAATGAGTATCTTTAACAGATTTATTCTGCATTCTCTGGGTAGTGGGGTGAGGAGCCTTGTCTTTCTGCTCACTTCTTCTTTCTCTCCAGGTGGCTTGCCTCCTCACTTCATGGTGGTCTTCCCGAGGCTTGGGTTTAGTTGGTGCACAGCTGTGGGAGGCCCGTGGCTGGGTGTGGAAGGAGCGCTCCTCCAGGGGGAGTTAGTACAAAGACAAACAAGTGTGACCTCTTGGGGAGGGAGTCTCCGCTCCTGCTCAGCTCAGGGACTCCAGAGTTTTAAAGCACTATCCCTCCCTCCAGTTCAGTTCCTGGGCTTAAAACCACGCCATGCATCTTGAATTATTTTGTCATGTGCATTTTTCTTTTCAGGAAGAATGTTTTACATTGGTGGTACCTACGAAATTACAATTTATCCTTTGCAAGTCTGCTTTCATGGCTCATACCCATCATTCAGCGGCTTTCTGATGCTAGAATGAATCTTGCCTGGTTTACAAAAGCAGCTAGCGATGACTCTGGGCAGTGGTGGGGGAGTGATGGGCAGCATAGTGTCTGAAATGTTAGGATATCTATCTCCGTCATGAAACAGAAACCAAGTATTTGAGAAAAATATCATCAAGTGTAGTATTTTTGAGTTCTAAATCAACAAAAACAACTCTATTGTTCCTACTCCTGCTTCTGCCTGAAGGTAATTTGCTTCTTTAAAGCTTTTTATGTTTCTTCCCAAGATTAATTATTTTTTTTTCAATGCTTCGTTCATGGAGGAAAACATTGTACTGCTAAGCTATCTTCCTATGCTGGGTTCCCAAGATTGTGGGGCCTGAACTCTGGGCCTGGGCGCTGTCCCTCAGCTCTTCAGCTCAAGGCAAGTGCTCTACCACTGAGCCACCTTCCCAGCCCAAGACTGTGGAAATTTTAATTGTTTTTCCTCAAGAAATTTCGTAGTGTATGTTGTAAACGCTGGATATCATCTTAATTTGTAATCACTCTGGTGAGGCTAAACTTATAAATACCTAAGGCCAAACTCACTTGTTCTCAGAGTACAAAAGAATTTTCAAGAATATTCTTCCTTATTAACCCTTCATAAATAAAGCCATGGCAAACCAGTCTATGCCTTGATGGAAAGACGAAAATTTCTACATGTGTGAAGTCTTAAAAGAATAAAAACATATCGGGAGAGTAGTCAGAGCTCTGGAAATGAATGATACAAACTGTGGAATGTTCTTGTGCTAAATCAATTTGTAAGTGTGAGAAAGTTAAAGCTATAGAATGGTTGCTTTATTTTTCATCAATGACACAAAATATTTATACTTTGTGCATATGATAAATAACAAGAAAATACTCAGTCATATCACTGACTAAACAATAAGTATGTGCAAGTCATTTAGTCTCTACTGGCCTCAGTTTTCTTTCCATTAAAAATGAGAGTTTGACAGGGTTGATTCTAAGGCCCTTTCTACGTTTAATATTTTGGGGATACAGTAGAAGCTATGAGGATAAATGCATGTTTTCTGAAGGATTAGTGAGGCTTGAGTTCAAGGGCATAAGTCACATCTTACATGTACATTGCCTAAAGAACTTTATCTACATTCTTATACATATCAGATAAGGAAAATACATGTTGATATTTTTAATGAAATTGTTCTTTCAAATAAGTTGATAAACTGAATTATTTCAAAGGAGTTTTCCCAGGGCTACTACTTTATGGTAAAAATGTATAGATTAGGCCAAACAGTATGGTTAATGTCATTTTAAATTTAAGGATAGAAATCTTGTCATTAAAACTTCCTATTTTCTTTGACAGGTTATGAAGAAACTACAGATTATACTTATTTTACTTAGTTTTTCAAGTAAAGGTGAATGAAGTACCTATAACCAATTAGTGATTTTCCTATTACCTAACTCTACCTGATAGAATATTAAGTGAACAAACTGAAATTAATTGAAATAGTCAACTTGATTGAAATAGTCAATTCCTTAGCCTTCCTCAATGAGGCTAAAATAATTGCCTTTTCCATACTTTATAGTCTAAATTTCATGAAGAATAAAACTGAGAAGCTGACATAAATCCAGTTTTATTTGTGTTAGTTGTCGGAGGCTTTGTTATTAGTCAGGAAATCAAATTGCTTAAGAGACTATACTTGATCTTTACCGCCACTTACAGCATAGGTTCCACTGTTAATAAAAGCTCACAGTTAATCACTTGGTGGAGGACGCTTTCAGGTACAGGATGAAGTAAGGGGCGGAGGCTCTGCGGGAGGCGTGACGCACGGTGGAGGCGGAGGCAGGAGGAGAGGGAGGATTACAGAGTCAAGGCCAGGCTGGTCTACATAGTGAAACACTGTCTCAAAAAAAAAAAAAAAAAAACCCAAGGTCCTTCTTTTAATAAACTTTAAACAGAGAACATGTCACATGAAATGCTAAAGAGTTTATAAGCAGGGAGAAAATGAAATTCATGTGTACCCTATGCGGCATGCCTCTTCTAATAAAACACAGTAAAGGCAAACACATGACTTTGGTTCATTCATTTGCACTTTATGCTGGGTTTTAATAGAAATTAAATTAGTCACGTAATACGCACAAGGTAGCATTTGTTTTCCAGTCTAGTAGCTTTTCACCATCCACAGGGAGTCTCAGAGAAGTGGTGTTCAGCACGGTGATGCTGCTGGCTGAATGAGCAGCGTTCGCATCGGCCGCTCGTAACAGAAGACAGGGGGGTTGGACTTACTCTCCAGCAAACAACGTGGACACATAAGAAGCACAGACCCACAATAGTATCAACATGCATTATTAGGCCAAGTTTCAAAGTTAACCCAACCCACAGGGATTTCTTCTAGGAGGAGCGCGCACAGGGATGACTTTATCGAGGTCCATAGCCGTAGTAGTAAGGCTCATCGGGGCGGAATCCGTAAGCGGTAGCAGGGCGTGTCAGGATGCCCACCGGCTGGCCAAAGCTATCCATTGCAAGGCTGAAAGGAGGAAAACCAGTGATGAGCAGGTTAAATTAGAGACCTCAAACCTAACATCTATACTGCCAAGAGTCTCCTGCTACAGTCACAGTTATTTCTACTGGTATCACTGCTTTTTTCTTCTCATTCACATGTGTGTAATAAAATATTTATTACTAAAAACATGTCTGGAACTCGGCCAGGCGCCAATGGCTCACGCACGTTATCTTAGACACTCAGGAGGCTGAGACGTGGAGGATCACTGTTTGAAACCAGCCTAGTAGAGAAGCCTCTAAGACTTCATTCTCCAAAATAACCAGCAATGACTCCAGTGGTAGAGCCCCAACAAACTCTGAAAACACAATCCAGTGCCAGGAAAAAGTCAAATCTATAACAGAAGGCCCTAATATAGTCTAAGAATCAGATCAAATACTCCTGGCTGAGTAAATTATTCATATATATGGCTCTTTGTGACAAAATATAAATTTATTTTACATACTAGCAATAATCAGTATGTGTGGCTAGAAAATGATAAAATTAAAGCTGTAGAAAAAAGTTCTGCGCTTGAAAGTCTGTCCCGTGAAGACAGGGGCAACTCTCCCTCTGTTAGGACAGGCTGCTAACCCGTGGCCAGATCGTAGCACAAGCCCCAGAGGCACAAGGGATGTCTCCCAATGTGAAAATGAGCATCAGCAGTGGCGAGCGAAGTCATATGCCTTTTGAGTTGACAACCAACCGTTACAGGTTCTGATTCAACTACGGTGTGGAAATTAAAGTGGAAAGGTCATCTTTTGAGTTGTAAAGGCAGCCTGAAGCATACATATACTTGCAATTACTTTAAAAATGTATTCTTGCACTCAAGATACACTACTTCAAAGGAAATCCGTTCACCAAGTGCTTTTCAGGAATGAGTGAGCTACGCAGCGCTCCGGAGAGGTGACCCAGCGCCCGCCTCTGCCGCAGAGCGGCCAGCACATGCTCATGCACAGCGCATGCAGTCCAGGCATGGACTCGCGAGGGCGATTCCAACCAAAGGAAGCAATTTAATGTGCAAGTGTAAGCTCTGAAAAACAGACCGAAATGACGTACGGCTGAGATTGTACTAGATGGAAACATGCTTCACACCTGCGGAACCTCAACGTGATTAAAAATAGGTTCCCTGAACAAAGTGAGATTAAGTTGAAACATTTTACTAACCAATTAAGATTTTGGATAATGTGCATGTGTGTGTGTGTGTGTGTGTGTGTGTGTGTGTGTGTGTGTGTGTGTGTGTGCGCGCGCATGCTCATGGGTGTGTATGACAGAACTGAAGAGCATATGCAAAGAATCAGAATATATGAGACACATACTTCATGTGAATCTACCTCTCAGAGGAGTAGAATTTCTAAAATTTAAGTTTCCGTTAGTATCTATACTGAGTAATCCTAGACAAATAAAAATTTGAGTGTTCCTTCATTATGAAAAATAGCATGTGTATAATTTCCAAAGTTGGTTGAAACTCGTAAGTCTGAAGTCTATTTTGAAATGGTTAAAATATAAGCATCTCTTCTTACCTTGGTAACATGGAAAATAAATTTAAAATTTGAGATTATATATACACAAACACATATGGTTCTTTATTATATGCATATGTAAAATGTACATTATATATGTATAACATGTATAATATGTATAATATATGTATATATATATATATATATATATATATATATATATATATATATATATATATATATATATATATATTTGTGCCTGTCCTGGCGCTTGAACTCAGGGCTTGGACACTGTCCCTGAGCTTTTCTGCTCCAGGCTAGTGCTCTGCCACTTCAGACATAGCTGCTCCTCGGACTTTTTGGTGGTTAATTGGTGCTAAGAGGCTTTCCTGCCTGGACTGGCTTTGAATCTTGATCCTCAGATCTCAGTCTCCTGAGTAGCTGGTATTACAGGCATGGGATACTGGTGCCTGACATAGAACTTAATACTAGTTTAAAAGTAGCTTAAAAGGTAATTTAGAATTTATTGGATTCAGTGAACTTTTGTTCATTCTCAAGATACACCTGTGTCAGTTTAGAATTACAGAAAAAGCTGGCTGTTGATATGTTTTCTCCGGTGGGCTGAGGATAGCAAACTGCATGTGGCTCTAGAGAGCTCTCAGCTACCTAAGGATTGACGGCATGTGTGCAGATTGCAATTCAGTCTCCTCCATCCCTCTACTCACACCTGCCTTTTATCGCTCCATACCCTTTTAACACTTCCAATGAGGGTGGAAGCTGAAATTAGTTGTCCTCTTTTCTCAATTTAGGGACTATGGTCACATAATGGATTACTGAACAAATATGAAAACTATCTTCAGAACAGAGCATCTCACAAAGGACCTTTTGCCTAGTGTTGCAATTCTGCTAGAAGAGGACGGTCCTCCACAGGGCGTTTAACCACTCACTCAGAACAGAGCTCCTCTCCAGCGGCGGTGCTGGCAGCAGCAACCAAGTGGTTCCTTGGTGACAGGGTGACCTGGACCCCTAAATCAGGAGTTCTGACTGATAAAACTGGGTCCTCAATGAGAAAGGGCATTTAAAGGCTCCTGGGGCTTTAAGAGGTTCTCCGGGTATCTCCAATGTCAACTTCTATGACTCCTAGGCAAACTTCTGTAATTTTTCTTATGTGCTTTGCCAACAGTGAAAATAACTTTAGTTGTGCCACATGGGCGATATTTTCTATTGTAAATTATATAACTTTTCGAACATATCATTTAGGAAAAATTAGGAAAGAAAATTTGAAACTGACTCTTAAAGCAAGCTTTTTAAATATTTAATCATGATGATTAATTTGAAGGAACGCTGTGAAGTTTATGGGTACCTTTGTATTATACAAGAGCAACTAAAATAAAGTAATATTTTTAAAATCAAATTCTCTCTGAAACTACAACTTGCTTCTTTAATATCTGTTTTGAGTCTAATGGGTGGGGGGGGGGGGGTGGGAAGTACTTCCAGAATGCTCAAACCTGAGGTAGGCATTCTTTGGGAACACGCCATACTAATCTTACTTGTGTCTTGAGATAAGGATGTAGCCTTGCTAATATGAGTCTGATTCAAATCTAGGAGAATCTATAGTGAGTACTCCTTTAAATCAGGCGTCAGAGATAGGGACATATCTGTTCTGCCAAGGGCCATTTGGGTATTCACAATATCATTCTTGGGATGCACACAATTATCAGATGGTTAGGGACAGCTGATGAGATGTGTCTGTCACATTGTACACCAAATGGTTGCTCAGGCCAGATCCTTCAAATAGAAATACAGAGACTCTTTATGTAAATTCTAAAAGGGATAGAAATCAGGCTTACAAAAGGGCCGCGCTATAGCAAAAACTGTTCTTTTCTTATTCAGGAAGACTTGACTTGAACAGCATCAGAACCGGGGAAACACCTCTCTCATGTGCTGTCTCTGCTCTTCTCCTGTGTGACCATTCTGCTTTAGATTATAGTTTGTGTGTGTGTGTGTGTGTGTGTGTGTGTGTGTGTGTGTGTGTGTGTGTGTATGATTGGTTACTTAAGTGGATGGAAGCTCACTGTCAACAGTGTGTCTCTATGTGTGCATATTCTTTTCCTGTCACTTCAAACCTACATAAAAAGTTACATTTCCTTTCGCATTGATCTAAGGAGCAACTGTACTACTTTTTCTTCACAATTAGATAGTGATAGTTAGCCTTTATCCTAGTGTTCAGATAACGGATTTGGAGCCTTTCCCCATTCAGTATTTTTTTTTTGTATAAATTGTGTGAGAAGATAACCAAGAATAGTAAAGACAACAAATTAATATGATATTAAGTTTTAGAACCTAATAACTGTGAATTATTCTTTAAAGTGAACAATTATGTTTAAAATTCACCAACAAATATAAATTCACTTCTGAGTTGGTTTGTACAAATGTAGAAATCTAGCATACAGGAAGCAGGAGAATGAAACTGGTCTAAGTATTTATGAGGCTTGAAACAGACCCTTCACAGCATTCATTAGAAACCTGAACGTGGGATGGTTCACAGGGAAAACAGAAATCTGTAAATGACACGTGGTGCTTCGCATGCAGCACATTACAAGGAAACACAGCCAGCATGGGCCCAGGATCCTCAGGGCACTGATCGGACAGTCCTGTGGCGGGGAAGCAGGTCACCTACCTCTGGCTGTTTGTGAGCTTTAATTAGTGCATGTTTGCAAAGCACTTTGAAATCCTTGGATGACAAGTGCTGCATAAGTGAAAAGTATCATCATTATTTGATTACAATTAGATACAGTGATGTCTTTTTCTTCCTTTATATTTTAGGTCAGCAATATAAAGACATAGCAAGTAAAATATTCATGAATGAATAAATTCAACCCACTTGTTTCATATGCTCAGATGAGCTCTAACTTGAAAACAGTTTCAGAATCGGTGTTTACCCTTCCGTTCACAACATCCTGGCCAGAGAGGATCCGAGGCTGTGAGTACGCCCCCAAGACACAGTGCTCATTACTCTGCAAAGGCGGTCCGCCGAGCTGCCAGGAAGTTTTGTAACCTCTTCCAGCCTGGAACCTCTTTGACTGAACCACCTCAAATGCAGCGGTGGGCTGGGCTTGTATGCTTTGGAGCCAGTGAGCGTGGGAAGACTGATTTGGTCATGATGTGATGGTATACTACTCTAGTATGTGTGTAATTAGTAGAAAACAAAAAAAATTAATTCTTACAGAAGAATCCTGGAGGCTAGAAATCCTTCATAGAAACTAGTTAGTTCTATTTCATAATATTTTATATTTCCAGGCATTATATATATTTACTATCTTCTCTTTTTTTTTTGGGGGGGGGGTCTGGTTGTGGGGCCTGAACTCTGGGCCTAGGCGCTGTCCCTCAGCTCTTCAGCTCAAGGCTAGTGCTCTATCACTCGAGCCACAGTGCCACTTCCGGCTTTTTTTTTTTTTCTGCTTATGTGGTGCTGAGGAATCGAACCCAGGGCCTCATGCATGCAAAGCAAGTGCTCTACCACTGAGC